TACTGCTTTTTTGATGTGCCACTGTTCTCTATTTTCAGTGTGCTTGTATGTTTTAAGGTAAAAGAATAATTTAAAGTGGGATGTATTACTTATTTTAAATTACCAAATACAAAAAGAGGAATTTTATCATATCTTAAAAATAACTAAAAAATGCATAGTATTTGCATTTTAAAGTAGTTATCCAATATAGTATCAGAAAAATGTACATGACTAGGGACAACATTTTTAATTTCCATGTTTCACTTTATGGTGCTCTTCCAAGGAAACTCCTCTGAAGCATACAACTGTTACAAAACACATTATTTGATGTTTTCTTTCTTCTGCCAAGCATTAGTTTTTAGGTCTAAACACTAGTTCAAAACCCCCTCCAACTTTTTTTTGTTGTTATTTTTTATTTTTTTCACTTGTGCCATAGTTTTTATTTTAATTATGGTCATGCCCATGTGACTTGATGTTTCACATTTCAGGTAACTATTTTCCCACTCTCCTGTGCAAAGTTACACACCAGAAGTCAGAGAGCTCTGGGAAATTTCATGTCATTTTCTGCCTAGAGCCAGGTCAAAGTCCAAGACATCCATCTGCTACAGTCTACCCAAAGCACTAAACAGCTCACCAACCAAGAAGTATTCACTTTAGAGAGCTCCAACTACGCTAAATAGTGGAAGATCCAAAGGCAAACCCTAATTGTCTGTGAAATGACTCAAACATTTCAGTGCATAGTAACTCTTACAGCATGTCAGCCACACTGGCAATTACACTGCCGCAAACATTTAAATTTGTGGTTTTGGAGCAGAGATTTGAGGAGAAGCATGGTGAGCTAAGCATTTTCAGTCAAAACATGAATGCATTCACACTTTTAAACTGGATTAAAAAATACAACTTCACCAATATGTAAATACACTCATTCTCTACTCCACAGTCACATGGCATAGAAGAGATTATGATTGTAACATAATAGATTGAATCACAGTACAGGTTAGTAATAATGGTTCAGTTTTCTGTATTTTGGAATGTGCTGCATTGTATCAGTGGACCATTGACAAGAACTTCATCATAAATCAAGTTCACCTGGGTTGAAATGAAATAATTTATGTTAGTAGTTCATCTTAAATCTGAGTTCCAATATGAACTAGTTCATGTTTATTTATCCTATTTTGCATGAAAGAAAATAGGGTAAATGACATATTTATCAAGGTCATGATGTCATTTCCTCCTTCACTTGGAATGTCTTGCAATCTGAACTAAAACTGCCAGAACTTGCTTTTAAGGTCTGCACAATATATTGTGAATATATCCCATTGCAATGTCAATGTCTGCAATATTTACATTGTAAAAGGACTGTTTGGAGTGCAATAATTGTTGACTGAAACATTTTGGGTCTTATGAACTTGCATTTTTTATGGTTAATGTAACATTCAGCCTGATAGAGCGCTATGGCTGCAGACAATGGAAACTAATTATGTTGCCCAAAATACTAAAGATGACAGAGTGATGGAAGCAAAGATGAGAAAGAGGACAGAAAAATACATATATGGCAACTAATATTGTCATAACAATATTTACCAGTATTATTCCCAATGCATGATTTTCTACTATTGTGCTGCCCTTATAACTTTCAAATAGAGGTACAAAACATACTAACAGTCACACAAAGAGGTAAGATCACTGGTGGTGATCATCTTGGTCAGCAATTTGGTAGGAGTGCAGCGTAAGTTTAGGTGCTATTCAAGTCGCCTGTAATTTTTCATAACACAATTTTTGATGTAGGGTTAGAAAAATCTAATCTTTTTTTGTTGTTTTTTTTTTCCAATATTGGTTTCATTGCAAGAAACCAACGACAGAAATACTTTTAACTGTGTTGTATTTAAAATTTTAAATTGTTACTGTAATAATAAGGACTGCATTTTCTTGTCAACTTGTTTGCACTCTATATAATTATAGGGTCCATGTTTGTTATTGTCTATTTATCTTGTCCATTATGATGTGTGCCGTGTCCCTTCTTGGTCAGGAAACCTTTGTAAAAGAAATCTAGATCTCAATGATTAAATACAGACTCAATAAACATAAATACTCAAATAGAATAATATCAAAGGCAAGTCTTTTTTTTTTTGTTCCAAAACATGTTGCAACACTTTTGTGGTATAATAGCAAAGCCTGAAATTTTGACCCAAAGAGAGCATAGCACAGCTGGCTAACAGTAGATGATTTGTTATATGTATTCAGTGGGACTCTTTATTTTTTGGTATTGGCATGTAATGAAAATATATGAAAAGAAAACAGAAATTACTACAGCATAAACACTGCAGGCATTGGGGTCAAATTCCATAAACACAGATAAGCAGGACATCCAGACCTATTTATATATTTAGTTTTCTTTGGCAAAGTCTGGTCAGTATGAGACTGTGTGCTTTGTTGAGAAGTAAATTATCATTTACAAACTGTTTTGTTGAGTTGTTGTGGAAATAAAGCTTACTGCAGGCAAAAATGAAAGCCCACAGTTATTTTCCAAGGAGCATCAGTCAATATGCTTTGGCAGCTTCTGCACACTGACTGGATCATTACTTGGGAAGAGAAATATGCTCCATATGCTGCTGGTCCTTAAGCAACACAACTCCAAATTCCACTGAATCAAATGTAGAGTTCAATGTTGAGTATATTTCAGCTAATTATGGATTAGCATAAGCTTGAAAATGCATTGTAGAGAGTGGCTAAACCTTTAATCTGTTCAGACATCCATTTGTACTAATTCAACTGAACAAAAGATGATGACTGATACGTTTCACAGCTGATGGCAACAGAAAAGTAAGTATGCTGACATAATGGGCTCTATTGTATAATGTGTATGTATGTGTGTGTCCTTTGACCCTTCTAGATATAATTAAGGACACATTTTAGCCAGGTTGGTTTTGGAAACGACTTGTGGCTGGGGTTTCTGTGTGTAGGTATATGTGTGTGATCTCAGTGTGTTTGCGTGCTGCGTTTGTGTGAGTACCCTAATGTGCCCCATCCCATTGCTTGTACATGTCGACCTAACCTGCCCCCTGTATGTCTACGACTAGTGCTTCTGGGCTGATTGGCCGTATCAGTTTCACTCAGCAGCTCACACACACACTCACGCACGCACGCAAACACACACCAAACCACACACCTTTAGAGACCAAGCCCTTGTAAAGGCACCTCCTTAGGGACACACTGTGAAATATACTCCTTGTTAGGACTTATGTGTGCGTGTGTGTGTCTGTGTGTGTGTGCCTGCTTTTCTTCAGCTGTTTCCTGCCAGTTCAGAGAGCAGCAGACTGTGAAGGTCTCTCTTTCTGCAAAAATCCCATTGATTTTCTGCTTGGAAATGAGCAGGGAAAGATAATAAATGTGATGATATCATTGCAGGAAAATTCTAATTTTGTTTTTTTGCCACTTAAATGTGATACCGTCTTCTAAAGTAGCAGATGCTGCAAAAACCATTAGTTATTCTATGCAGTTCACATAAGATGTACTTTGCAAACAGTCGTTTCCCCGTTGGTATGCCCGATAATCCAACTTTTGAACCAAATATTCAGGGAAACAAATTCAGCGCTTAGTTTTTATATATGAACCTTTTGATAACTGTTACGTATTATGTATTTATTGTAGAATAAATAAAAATTTCAACAGGTAATAGTAAGTCATTGTCAAGTACCTATGCCTGACTGCTGTATTCGGTGGGTTGGATGCTTAAATTAGCCAGTCAAAGGTCTCACACAAAGGCACTAGGAAAAAAGACTGCTTGCCAAAGATATAAAGTTTCTAACCAGAGAGAATGAATAGAATCCACTGAAGGAACACAACGACAGATACACAGCTGTGATTTAGAGGAAAACTATATCACATATTTGAGTCTCTTAACTTCGATATCTGAGACTGCTACAGGCATACTGACAGAAGAATTTAAAGAATTCTGCTGGTATTTATAATTGATAAAACCTAAATATCCTCTAATTTCTTAGATCAACGTAGGTTTTAAAAATTATGAAAAATTATCTGATTAAAGTATTTGGATAAAGAACTGAAAAGATTGGGATCCAAACCTTAATCCACTTTTGTCATGACACATTTAAATTTAACTCTCTTTAAATTAAGGTTAAATTTAACAGTCAATTTTGGTCAGAACTAAGTTAACACTCTATCATACTTAGATATTATTAGGTTTTGTAAAAACACATTTTATTTGTCAATTATGCATATAGTAATTAGCCTGTTTTTTACTTATTTGACATAGGAACAAGTCATGCTTTACATCTTTTTTATAGTGAGGCATGAAGTTAAAACAAATCCATTGTTTGAGGATGTTAAGTGAAACTATCATTTATGTGCAAAATTTGTATACTGAAGTGGTAAAAACTCTGGATTGTTGCTTTTTTTTCAGAAACATATCCAATATTTTTTAAATATTCAAACGGATATCGAAATAGATGAGATGGGACATGTTTGACATAATTTATATGGCTAAAACCGTTGGGTGACTTACCTTCACATACATGGCTTTCTATTCCTAATCTGTAGGTCTCAACATGATGCTGGTCCCGCCCTTTGCAGTTATAACATCTTTGGTTCTACTGGGAAATCTTTACTAAAGTATATTAGGAGATGGGTCTGAAGGAAGGTTTACAAAAATTAATGTCAGTTCTAGAACAAGATGTAAAAACTACAAACTTTTTGCCAGTCCTAACAATTTCGATCAGATGCTTACGTAGATAGTGTTCACATTTATCACTGAACAGATCATCTAACCCACTTGATTTTAAATATCCAGACTTGGCACTTCCTGGAGACACTGAATGTTAAAAGTGCAGTAAAAGTGAAATACTGCAAATCCCACATTTCTCCTGTAATGTTGGACAGGTCTAATTATATCGAGTGATGTCTCAAAAGCAAACATTGCAAATCTGGAATCACTGCAGTCCATTCACTCGGGTGATCGTATTTTGACTTCATCTTAGTTTTTATAATAATCAAAGACCAACCTGCACCAAAGGCAAAGAAGAAGCTCTTGTCTGGGTGTTCCTCCAGCAGGGCTTTCACCCTCTTGCCCATCCTCTCATTCCTCTTGTAAATGAGCTCCTGTCGAAAGTAGGCATCGATTTCTTGTGCAGTCACCTGCTCGCTTGGTCGCAGGGTCACATTGTTGAAGTTAGGCACCTTTGACAGTGAATAAAAAACACCATTCATTTCATAATAATTAAAAAATAGAGATTTTTGAACATTGAACTGAACTGTGAAGAAAGCGAGGCTAATGGCCATGTCAGTAATATGAATTAAATTTCCATAGGTGAAAATGTTAAATGTATTAAGGAGGGTGTGATTAGTAGAAAGGTAGCATAAGTTATAGATTCACTGGACAGACCTGTGATGCGTCATGATTGAAGATGATGGAATTGAGATCCCCACAGTTGTAGTGTCTGATTAGGTCATCGGTTGTGTACGGGACCCGAAGGCTTCCTGCTCTCAGTGACTCCTGCTGCAATAATGTCTGGTTCAGGGCAAAGATCACCTAGAGCAAAGCAACCAAATATTGAGATTTTTTTTTTTTTTCATTCAAATTTACACACAAATACAATTTCAACACACGGGAGCACACAAATGTTTTACTGCACCAAGCATTTTGAAACTTAAATGGCATTTTGACAATAAATATTTTGGTTTCAGTATGTATTATTAGAGTATTGTGAGAGATTTTCAGTCAAATAAATGTTGGCTTAATACAAAAATGGGGATGCTAATAAGGCAGACCAAAGCAACAGTCTTTTTTTTTCTGCGTTCAGTATTCTGAGGTGCTCCGCAGACACTTTTTTATTGGGCTGTCCCATTATGGGACCCTCTATGTTGCCAAAGAGAGCGGGGCAGCAGAGAGCAGATGCCTTCTTGTTACGGGACAAAGAAACCCTCCATCACCCTCTCTTCTGCGCTCCTTCCAGCTTTCATCAGCCGCGCATCAAAGTGGTGCTCTGCATATGAAAAGTACCCTGTCTTTATTCTACTCAAATTAGCCTATCACTGCCCCTCCCCAGCTCATTTCACAAAAAACACCCTCACATCTGTGCCATGTCCGTGAAGGAAGGCCCTCATCTGCAAGGTCTCCCCTTTTTCTCCGCTCTCTACTCTTCTCTTTCTCTGCTCACCATGCCTTTCAGCCCCTTAAATTATGGCAGCAAGGAGAGGAGGAGGAGGGCAATGTGGGGGGTTAGGGAAGGAGGCTCAGTCAAATTTCTGTATTTTGAAATCTAACCAACAAAAAGGAAAAAAAAAAAAGAAACCTACGGCAAAAATGTCAGGAAAGGAAGGAAAAACAAACTTTAAAACAATTTGGTTTTGTGTTTTCTGTTATCTTCCAGTTCTGTTAGTGCACTTAGGGTCAGTGGGTGCATTTTCCCACTCGGCTCCTTTCATCATGTCCCCCCGTTTCTTCTCCTCCGCTGCTGTCCTCTCACTCGCCGGCCTCTTGCACACACAGAGAGAAACAGAGACACACCCCTAGCTGATATCAAAGCGAGCGGAGCCAATGAAAGTCAATAATTGTCCTTTGTCATGGAAATGTCCCCTCTTGTTGAAATGGAGTGGGGTGGGTGTGTGTGTCTAGAGCAAACATCATCACAGTTAGATTCCCACATGTGGAGATTTGGAGTGTTCAGCGGCTCAGTTGAAAGCTCTCGCTCTGGAGTGTGTTAGCTTAGTGTTGGATTTGCCAAAAAGACTGGGGAGAAAGCTTTGTAGAGTGACTTTAAAGAGACACTGCATCAATTACGGTTAGAAAAATATTATACTGGGATCACCGATTACGAAGAGAAATAGTAACAATTTTTTGCTGAAATCTCATACAGATTTGGCAGCAAAAGCCCTGAATGCAGCTGAGTGCCTGAGGAGCGAACACAATGCACTGACAACGATGAAACTTGTTTTGGCGTAACAAAAGCTGACACACCAACTGGCCAATGGAACATTTTTCCATCAAGTAAAATAAACAATCGCAGACCTTCTGCTCAGATCATTTCAAATGACAGGTAATCAAAGGAAAATAATGGAAAGGCAAGAGGAAAGTTGAAACATATGTGCAACAACATGTCAATCATGTGATTTCCAACTGTACTTCATTCTAAGACACAGAAATAAAAAACAATTGCTGTCAGTCCATTACATCACTCTTCTGTCTCCCTGGAAATACTTTGATCATTTTTTTTACCATGTCTTTAATCTGAGTTTATGCACTTGCAATTTATGAGCTTTACAACAACACTGTGTGTGCATATTTGCAGCACATAGGTTGTGAAAAAAGGTGATTTTTTTGTTTTAAATTAAAGTTATCATAACTGTTTGCAAGAGGACTTTTTGTTTATCCAAATCTTGTAAAACTTTGCATTGTATTTATCACTGTAAGCTGTTACCCACCAACTATTGCATGAAATAAAACTGTGTGTTTTGTCTGATCATTTACATTCAAGTTGTAATTCCTGAATACAAACTGGACTCTACTTTCCAGAAACTGAGCACAAAGTTGAAACTTCGGTAAGTAAATATTTAGGGTTGCGTCTTCTTAAAAACTCTGCATTGTGTATCAATTTTTCTTTTGTTAGCAAAAACTAACATTTCTTAAACTAACTTGCCTTTGTTTATCCATGCACAGGCTGCATATAAATCAGAAAGTCCATGTCCATGTGAAACAGTACAATATCACCATGTGACTGATTTTATAAGATAAAGACCCTCAGAAGAGTATGAACACAGTATGCGTCAGCCTCTGTCAGAAGACTTTGGATGGCAGCACAGTGTTTAGGTTTGGGGACCTTTCAGACGATGGTTTTTCCTGAGGAAAACATAAAAATTATGGCAACTTTGAAATGTGACGTGAATATACACTACGTGTATATAACCACAATGTTTTTCTACAAGTCTATTAATATAATATGGTATCTAGCTAAGCAAATACACAGATTGCTCACACCTGAAGAAGTTTGTGGTATGAGTCCCACCACATATTCACTTCTTCTGAACAATGTATATACATGAATACTGCAGCAAATACTTGATAAGGCACTTTGTCTCTTTCTATACAATGTAGTCACTGTCTGCTATGATAAAGATTCACTCTCTGTGACTGTGTAAAGAGCATTAAGCCTTCATCCTCAGTGTAGAATCAGAATATGACTTCACAAATAAAATACCTGAGCTGCAAATTCTGAATCATACACCCTTCATCCCAAAACACATAGACGGTATAAAGTTGAAATGCATCCTAGGTCACCTGCAAACATTCGGTGACAGAACTTGATGTTTCAGGAAATGTTCATTTTGTCACACTTAAACTCATAAAAAATGTTGTTTTCGAATACATCAGAATACATTGCATGACAAAAAAAAAAAAACAAGACGATAGCAACTTAGATGACGAGGTATATAAACAATATTTAGGCTAAATAATGTCAGCAACACATCTACTCTGCACCCAAAAGTACAGAAAATAAAAAGTGAGTGAGGGTTCCTATCAATGAGTGAGTGTACTGTAATGTGAACAACATGTAAACATAATGATATGCTCCTTGTATGGTAAGGCCTTTGGCTAGCTCAGGATTTTCTAATTGCAAGTGCCGGCATTCGCTTTAGAGAGCTCCAGTAACTTAATTTCCAATGCAGTTTTAATGAGATTCTAAAGAGGAGCATGTGTGTGCCTGCATGCAGCACATCTTTCTGCCTGCGTGTTTTTCTTTGTCTTATGACTGATAGTGTGTCTGCATATGAGTAGAAAACCATGTGTTGTAACAAGTGTATCAAAGTATACACACACGCAGACGTACGCACGCACACACATTCTACTGCAGCTGATTCAATGAGCCTTGGCTTTCTCCCAAGTACAAATGAAGTCTTCCCAACATTGTTCTGTTTTCCTCTGTCTTTGTGATGTTATCACAGTAACTTACTTCTATCTTGCACATCTATGAAGATGTTTCAGGCAAAGGGAAGTCCAATGATTTCTGCCAGAAACCGGCAGTGTAAAAAAAGTCACATCAATTAGACAGATAGAAAGGTTAAGAAAAAGGAAAGAGAAAGACTCCCCTTTAAAGTTACTATCAAAGCTTCACAGGACAACATGACTGGATGTTAAATCTTCTGCAAATTTATGTCATGCACAAGCTGCTGTACACAGAATTTTTTATCTTCTGTACATGTTTGTCTCTACCTAAAATGATGCAGTTGATCTTTGAAAGAATAAGGACTTTCAAACTTGCAATGGTTCATGCAAAAAATGTCTAGACAAAGAAAGCAGAGAACCCAGCCGTGAATGCATCAATCTTTGTTAAACATGTCATATCCAAACAATTTACACGTTGCATTTAATGTTTGCACAGGCAAACATTAAGTCAACGAGTATTAGATCATCATCCAATTATGTCTATTAACAGCCTTGTGTGGTGAACACTAAGGAGTAAATTCTAAACTCAGAGGAATATTTTAGAATCTAAAATAGTTTACATCCTGACCCATGGAAAAACAACCATAATCCCTTACTTTTCAGAGCAAAAACTGTTTTGGTTTTTACGCCTTTGGCAAATACCTTTCTAGCTTCATAGATAACATTCACATGTCTTGGTAATAGAATTTTAAAGTGGAAATTGTCTGTACTAAGTAGAATGGGATTAAGAAATATTATTTTTGGATCTGACTCTTGGTAGCAGTGGTGGATGTAAGATGTCAACTCTGAGTTGTGAAGACGCTTCCACAGATGTGGCCATAAATAATATCTACAATAATGTGAGTGAGATATTAGAAAATGTATTTTATTCATGAGGCAGTTTTTCAACAAATGTTCTGCTATCCTAAGATGAGACGTTTCATTGAGCTTTAGTATTTTTCATTGATTTGGTGTGGTGAAATGTGGTAAAAACGATTTCCTATTGTAGATATGAAAACCCAAATGATTTTCTTTTTTCCACATTTTGAAAGAAATGACTCCAATAACTTGTGGGTTTTGTGGCTTCTGAAATGCACTCAGTCTTATTTAGCAGGAATCCGCAGACACACAGACACATACGCACCACATGCATAAATCTCTCATCGCTGCAGAAGCTTTCATTTTCAGGCTCAAAACCTACCATTTAAACACAAATACACACACCTGTCAAATTGAGTTATCTGTATTGTTTCTACACTCCATACCTCCACCCTCAGCCCCCTTTCTGTCTTTATACCTTTCCTCAACACCTCCGCTTTCATTCACAAACTCAACTTTCTCTTATTCCTTCTTCCTCTCTCTTATGATCCTTTTTATCCCATGCTTCTTTTCCATCCATCTCTCTCTCTCCTCTTCTTCTCCTTTGATCTTATACATCCCCTCTATCAACCAGGTCTTTTAAGATTTGACCTCTACATTCCTCGGGTCACTAATGACCTCCTCACTGCATTTCTGTGTTTCCGTGCATGTAAGTGTGCACACACCTGTACAAGATTAGGTCTTTTCTGTATGCGTCTGCATGCTGGTGTGTATGTGTATGCATTCATGTG